ATATATATATATAATTTATATTTAACATAAAAAATTTTTTTAATGTACATCTTTAGTTATTCGGGTTTTCTCCCACATAATCCTAGATCTGACCAACCACTACCTATCCAATACATACTTCACCTACAATGGACAAAAATGCAAACAAATAGAAGGAGCACCCATGGGATCACCCCTCTCACCTGTCATTGCAAACCTCTACATGGAACAATTTGAAACACAAGCTCTAGAAAAATATGATCACAAACCCAAACTCTGGCTCAGATACATAGATGACATGTTCATAATCTGGCCACACGGGAAAGAAAAACTGAACAACTTCCTCATACACCTCAACAACCTACACCCCAAAATACAATTCACCATGGAAACAGAAGCTAACAATCAACTTCCTTTCCTAGATGTCTATACAAAAAATCCAATGGCTCCCTAGGACACACCATCTACCAGAAGAAAACACATACAAACTGCTATCTGCACGCATTCTCACACCGCCACCCAGCACAGATCAATTCCGTAGCCGAGACACTCAACTCCAGAACAAAATGCTTAGCCGACGAACAACACCTAAAAACCAAACTACACATTCTCACTAACGTACTAACAGCCAATGGATTCCAAAGAAAGAAGATTACCCACCTAATCCAAAAGGAACCCCAACCAAAATCCAAGACAGAGAACAAGAGAACGGAAAAGCCATTGGCTCCAAGTTTGAGGTCTGGCATGTATGTCAGTTTGCTTAGTTGGGGGGGTCAGGGTGTATGGCAGCTGGTGATACAGCCATGGTCTGGTTTCTGGATGATGGTTGCCTTTCGTCTATGGGATGGGTTTGGGTTTGAGTCTGGTGAGGAAGATTGGTGGTGGCATCGTGTGTTGTTTTGGGTCCGGTGTTGGTTTTCGTGGCTGGGACTCATTTGTTGATAAGGGCTAGTTTCCAGATGTCTGGTAGGCAGGAGGCATCGTCCCATTTATTCATGTTGTGGGGTGGTTCTCTATTTCAATGGAAGCTCTATTTCGATGGAAGCTTCCCTGAAATATTTCAGGGAAGCCATCGAAATAGAGAACCACCCCCAAACTAAGCAAACTGACACATATATGAACATATATGAACACATATAGCCAGGCCTCAAACTCGGAGCCAAACCAAAACCTGGAACGTTACATCACAGCCACCCACTCAGGATATCACATCACGGAACACAGGAGGTTACACCACAAAAACTCAGGATGTTGCAACACAGCCAATGACCCAGAAGATTACAGCACAAGACCTAGGATATCACAACAATAGAACTCAGGAGGTCATCACACAGCCCATTACCCAGGTCGTTACAACACAGGAGGCTGATAGACACACAGCCAATACCTCAGCCACACATGTTCTTACGAAAAAGCCAACCAATCTGCAAACATCAACTCCATCAATCAATCAAGAAATAACAACACAGCCAACCAGCCTGCTTGCAACAGATCCAGCACACTACACCTCCCCACCAGTATTTATAGAGAAACAGCAGCTCCAATCACGCTTTGCTCGCACAAGCATGAAGCTGAAAGCACAGCCTGAAGATGGCAAGTGGGACCTCATCGAAATGTCACCAAGATACTCTCAATCTTACAAAGAAAAGATCCAAACACACCAAAACCTGCATACCGTGAAAATCTATGAAAACAAATGCACACACACACACACTTATTTAATTATAACAAAAATGTAAATGCTTAATGATAACAAAATAAAACGTTCCAGGCTGGAAGCCTCCCCCCACCTGGCACCTTCCAAAGAGACAGAAGAGTGGGTGGTGTGTGTGTGTGTGTGTGTGTGTGTGTGTGTGTGTGTGTTGGGGCAACTGCCACTGGGAGAATTAGAGGCAGAAAGGGGGCTTCGTTCTCCTTGCAGGACAGCGCCCCTTGGCTGCCACTCCAGGGGCTTCTCAGCAGGCATCTACCTCAGAAGGACTGCCGCTCTTGGTGATTAATTGGGGGAGGGGAGGGGGAGAAAGTGGGAGCTCCTTTCAGATCCCAGGTGGAAGATTGAGAGACTCAGATCTGCAGAAGGGAAAGCTGGGGGAGGCTCTTCCAGCCTCACCTGGAGACAGGCAAGGAAAGATGTCCCTGGGGGCACTTCACTCGCTTTACACTTCGCTGCCAAACTCAGCCACAGCCAATGATTATTTGGGGGAGGGGTAGAGAGATAGAGACAGAGACCCAGAGAGAAAACATCTCTCGCATTACCAGGAGAGGAAAGGAGGGGAGGAAAACTCACTCTTTCACCGAGACCTACAAAACACCAATCTACCGCATTCCAGGAGTTCTTTGAAATCACCAAATGCTCCCACTTGCAGTTCTCGTGCCTCCTGGCTCTCTGAGGGATCCCAGAGGTAGGTCCCTGAGATGCACATGCCAACCACCTCCCACACACAGTTGCAGCGGCAACAACAGTTCCCTCCCCCAGTGACCGCTGTCAGTTCTTCCCCATTAGTTCTCTAGCTTTGAATTGCTCCCAGCTCTCTCTCTTTCCTTACCCCCCCCCCCCACATGCAGGCAGGCAAGGCAAGGGAGACGGAGACATGCACAGTTCCCAGCTCTTCCAGCCCTCACTGCCTCTCCCAACATCGAAGCCTTGGAGATGCAGGCAAAGCTGCCACAGTGGTAGCACCCTGAGTTGCTTGCTTCTCCACTACTGCTTCCTCCTCCTCCATCACCTTCTTCTCTGGGTAGGGGGATTCTTATCTAACCGAGCATGCTAAGGCAACTCAGGGCGCTACCACTGTGGTGGCTTTGCCTCCATCTCCAAGGATTTGATGTTGGGAGAGGCAGTGAGGGCTGGAAGAGCTGAGAACTGCACACAGCTCCATCTCCCTTTCCTTGCCTGCCTGCACATGAGCACGGGAGAGGGAGGGGGAAGGAAAAAGAGGTGGGAGCAATTCAAAGCTACAGAACTAATGGGAAAGAGCTGACAGCGGGTGCTGGGTGTGGGGACTGTTGTTGCCGCTGCCACCACCGTGTGTGAGAGCTGGTTGGTGTGTACATCTCAGGGACCTGCCTCTGGGGTGTCCCGGAGAGCCGGGAGGCGTGAGAACTATGTGGGCCAGATTAATTGCTTTTGGGGGCCATTTCTTCTGCAGCCCACCAAAAATTTTCCACGGCCCACCTGTGGGCCATGGCCCCCCATTTGGCGACTGCTGGTATATACTATATATACCATAGAAGGGGTGGGCAAACTACGCCCCGGGGGCCACATCCGGCCCGTTGGTCTTTTTAATCCAGCCCGCCAAAGATTGGTACAGAATTAAGGTTTGATGTGAATGATTGAATGATTGCATTCATTTTATTTTGACTTGTAATGACAGGCATTTCGACACCAGGTGGCGGCGCGTCTGTCAAATTTTAAAAGTCAATGAGGCTCCCGAGCCAAAAAGTTTGCCCACCCCTGTACTATAGTATAGTTCATATTATACTATTCAAGTGTGGCCTTTTGCAAGTGACAGATGGACATTTTGTTACTGCACCGATTTTCTAACTACTGTCCAAGAGTTATTGGTGTGGGACCGAGTGTGCCAATTATCACTGGGACCACCATGTCTGGTTTATGCCATAATCATTCAATTTCAGATTTTGATACTTTATGATCTTCTTCAGTTCTTTGTCTCTTTTTGTAATATTTCCATCAATTATCCACAATTTTCAACCACAATTTAATCTGCATGTTATGAACCAAGATATTGTCAGTTTGTATTTGGGATCCCTGTTTTATCCTGTTCATTTTTTACCATTAAGGACCCGGCCTAGGCAGATGTTATTGTTTGATGGTGTTAAATATACCATTGTAAAATATAATTCTTCCAATTGATTTATGATGATTGATGCCAGATCTCTTTTCTATTCTTGCCATGTCTCTTTTTCATTTGGTCTTTCTTATTTGGTCTCAGTAAGCCTTCTGATAAACTAACTTCAGTGTATCTTCTTCCCTTCCCTTCAGATACTCTTCTAATGCCACTTTTTTTTCTTCTACTGTCTGGTAGAGTTGTAACATTCCATGTCTACCCATTTTCCTTGGTATATAGAGCCTGTGAACATTGCTGCACAAATAGTCAATAGACTCGACCTTCCATCCTTCCGAGGTGGGTAAAATGAGGAGGCAAAATTGTTGGGGGAAAATATGCTGACTCTGTAAACCACTTAGAAAGGGCTGTAAAGCACTGTAAAGCGGTATACAAGTCTAAGTGCTATTGCTGCACAAATATAATTATTTTTCTGGTCTTCCTCTTCAGGAAATTTAGTTCTGCTTGCCTCCAGTCTGCTATCCCAGCTATGTATTTAATGATTGGAATTATCGAGGTGTTAATTTCCTTGATAGTATTTCCTTCATTGAGTTTGGACTTTAAGATACTGTTGTACTGTATTCAACCTCTAGTCTTCTTTTTGACTTTAGTATGCTTGATGTCAGCTTGAAGAATGTCCAGGTGCCAGATCATCAGGTCAGTCCACTCATTCAGTCACATACATACTTATATACTGTACAAAAAAAAAATGAGATTACATTTCTCTGGAGAATAAAAAAAACAAAAATAGATCAGTTTAGTTGATTGCTGTTTGAGACATTGCAAATGTTCACAGCTGAATATGCCTTTGCAAAGTCTCAAGTGTATACTATATTGCAAAAAATAAATTACAGCTGGTGAGATTCTTTTTTAAAAAAAGATATAACTTATTTAGCAATTTGACATTAGTAATCTATCAAATTATCAGTATCAAAGGGAACATGTTTTTAGCCATAAAAAAAAATAAATATACAAATGACAGTAAATGGCAATGCATATTTTTAAAAATATTCCCTAGTTTTACATTATTTTAATTTTATTCTGTCTGGCAAGATTTAGTATATATTACATTATGTTATAATGAAACAAACTCAACATAAGCAAAATAAAGAATGGTAATTCTTTTACTGCAGCTGTAAACAATATAAATATAGTTACAATCACATATAAATATGGAGATGTTCAGATATTGAATATTTAATGTTGTTTGATGTAAGGATTTTATTTTCTTGGTATAGAGCTGATTCAAAACTGAGACATTATAGTCAGTATTTTATTTTGACTGATCATGTAAAATTATTTATTTATACAGTAAAAATGCCAACAGTTGCAAATTTCTTTTTTTAAATGTGGTTGCTTATATTTCTGTCATTTTATTTCTTTACCTTATTTTTATTCTATCTTAAATCCAGGTGCCTTTACACAATAGAGCCACAGTCAGGAGTCAAGTATCAGTCTTTGATCTACAATTTGTGAAGAAATGCATCATCCTAAGAAGAATTAAGTAGCTTGAATTTCTATAAGAAAGAAAATCTTTCTCCTTCTTAAATTAAATAACAAAGACTTTCCATGCCCAATACTAGTCTGGATATGAAAGAGGCTATATAAGCATCATTCTGTCCTATTCCTTTTAGTGTGAACAGAATAATGAATTATTTCCCATTTTACTTGCTTTGTTTCTTGGAAACCAGGCAAATTATTCTTCTGTAATAATTTTTGCTTTAAAAGGGTAGTTATTCCACTGCTAAAATGAGAATCATTCAACTTTATTATAGATAAAACAGGTGGATATATAGAAGATGTGTGTTTTCTGAAAAATATAATTTCAAAGTTAAAACTTTGAACTGTGAGCAGATCCTAATTAGATAAGAGCCAGAATTTATATAGCTTGTTTTACTTCTCACAGATTAAAAAATATGAGCTAGACCCAAAGTTTTTACAGAATCAGAATAATTAGATGGAGAAAATGAAACAAAACGTTAATTTTCCTGAAATTTTTCCAGTTTCCTAAAAATAAATTTTAAAATCTCAGAATTTTTTTTAAAAAATCTCAATATCATTGTGTAATGTAGACCATATAAATTTCCTCATATTACTGCTTTTCAAATACTGAATTTTGTCCTGGTTTCAGGAAGTCATGATATTGGTATCCTAGTTAGCTGGATAACATCCAAATCATACTAGTTATGGGAGTTTCCTATGATGTTGTATGGAAGCAAAAGTTGGACTTTGAAGTAGTGCCAATAGCACAGGAAGAGTATTGAGGTTTTTGAACTGGAGAACACTCATTACCATTTAATTAAGATTTGTTTCTAAAAGCCTTGATACTCTCAAGATTATTACTAAACTTCTATGACATTCATGAGAAGGACATTCATAAGAAAATATGGAAGCAAGAAAAGTGTGCAAATAAATACTATGGTGAGATGTAATTCTCTTATGAGTACTAGCAATTAGGGTTTCCAATGCTAGAAGAAATACACACATTCACAACACACCCTAGTTTCTCACAAATTTTAGATTATAACATCTAGAACGCCACCAAAAGAAGAAGAATTGAACAATGGTTATTAAGATCTGGACCAATAAACTTTCTAGCTTGAATAAGCAACTAGCACTATCCAATTGTGTTGGGTTTGAACTCCTTTATACAATAAGCATTTTTGAGAAATTGTAAGAATTCTGCCAAAATAAGTAGCAGGAACCAGCACAGAAAATTTCAATAACACAGTGGTAGAACACATGCTTGATTTCAGTTCCAAAAATTCCAGATTCAATCACAGAATTTCCATGTAGGGTTCTCAAAGACTATCTGAGGTTCTGGAAAACTGTTTACAAATGGAGCTGTGTGCACATGCATGCTTGCTGGCTGCTTGTGCGGAATCATCCCCTCCCCTCCACTGGTCTGCAAAAAATAGTGTCATGTGTATATACGAATAGAGTTATTTTTAACCTACGCTTCTGGAAGAAAAAGATGTTTTACTAAGCAAATGATCACCAGTCATCAGTCATCATTTCTGTTCATTTTTGGGTCTACAAAGGTCTACTCTTTTTAATGTGTTCTGTACACATCTTATACATCCATTCATGCCATGTAACAGGGTAACATTTTCCCTTAGATTTCTGTCTTTATTATTGTCGATTTCTGTCTTTATTATTGTCAATTTTCCCCAATGGCTCATCTATAATTCTTGCATAATATATAGTTTACAATAACCTATGAATTCCTCCTTTTATATGAACCCACAATAACCATAATAATATCAATTCATATCATACTCTTTTTCATTCAAAATTCCCTGTGTCTATTTGTTTCTAAAATGTATTTATTGATTGTACATCACCAACCATTGACGTGGCTTATAAATTGTGTAAAGGTGTATATATCCATTTAAACTCTATCCCATAAGATCATTTATACACATTTATTATTTACATCCTTTCCCTTTCTCATGTTTCATAGACACACAATGCATTTAGTTTTAGTTTTAATTTCATGTACTTTACTATTTACTCCTTTTATTTTACAAGTCAAAATATTCTATATATCAGGGAAATCATCATAAATTCCAAATATGTCTTTACTATCTGTCATGGCTTTGGGCAATCCAATTTTTCACATATTTCATTGTAGTATGATAGACTAGTTTACTAAAATTATGCTAATAAGAAAGAATACCAATGAATTTTAAGATATATTTGGGCAATCTGACACAAACACAACTAAATATCAGGTTTATTTAAAGCATGATTACAATATTCTATGTAAGATAGGATGTAATTAGATACAATTGCATTGATGTCATAAACTAAGAAGCATAGGAAATGTAGCAAAACTTATTTAAAACTTATGTAGAATATAAATATATGCAGGGTAGTAAAACAGAGCCAAGATATAATGTTAGTGTGGTGAAGGAATAAAATATTGATATTCCCAAAATGGCTTAGCATTCAAGCTTAATCAAAACAGTTATTTTGAATTAAATCTATTTCTCTGTTTCTTAAGTTCAGGGTTTTTTTTCTTTTGCGGGGGGGGGGGGGTTGTAAAATCATATGCCATCTATTCCATGAATGTATATACAAAATTCAAGCGTAGGATCAGACTCTATAATAAAGTATAAAGGAAACTGTGTATCATTTATTATTGAAAGCTAAAGTGAAGAAACAATATGTAACGGGATACATATCTAGTCTTGGCCTATTGTTCTGGGGGAGAAAATCTCCAAAGGTGATTATGTTGAAATAAGGCAGGTGTAAAAACAAGATCTGACCTTAATGGCTTTGCTGAAATGCACAGTATTTGTTCTCACATTTTTTCCATTCTGTTTTTATGATCAGGATATCTGTCTCTGAGATAATATGTCATCATGATCATGCTTAACATAGTTTCCATTTTACTTTTTTGCTTAGGATATGCCCTCCCAAGGTAGTACTGTATGTCACAAACTTTACATATTTAAAAAGAACATCTGATAATATTGTTATGAATATAACTTTTAAGAGGAAAAACAAAAGCAATTGGTATGGATGTGTCAAACAGTGCTTTTGAAAAAAATATAAAAAAGTAGCCAATTATACTGCCCATGAAATGAATGTTTATAACTGAAAAGATAGATCAACATTAAAGTACAAGGCCTTGCACAGCTTGAGGATGAATGAGAGCCTTCACTTCTTACTCTCCAGGAACACTGATACTGTGTAAATGGAATAAATATTTAAATAAATTAAAATGTATGTCTTTTAACTGTAGCTTTTGTCATATTGACTATATGAAATCAGCAAAGTCAATTGAAAGTACACAATCACAAAATTTAATAACCAGTGAACTCATCAAAAATGTCTGTTTATATTTGAAGAAGCCAAAGAAGAAAGATCATTATATTGTATCCAAATTGTGTGTGTGTGTGTGTGTGTGTGTGTGTGTGTGTGTGTGTGTGCGTTTCTCAATAGCAATAGCTCAATAAGCTGTGTTCCCTTGGATGCCAGACTTCTGTCAGCTCTGGGGAGATGACTAGCAATGATTATGAGAAATTATGCCATGTTCCTTTTACAAAATTGAATACATTAAAGTTATAATCAGTTGTATTATTTTTATTCCATATTAATCTCTGATCTTAACTGGAACATTGAAAAATATTTTTGATTTGTTTTAACATTCATTAAATAAGATACAGGATAATTGAAAGTCACCTGTCTCTATTTTTTAAGTGAAAACAAATAGACTGCAAGCTGACAAGTTTAATTTGAACAGCGGGAAAAGGAAAAAAATAACAAACAATTCTGTCTGGGCCACCCACTTCCATCAAAACCTCTTCCACATATTCAACATGTTATGTAGGCTAGGATGATACACAGAGATATCTCAATTTAGTTCACATGCATTGAAAAATATGCTTAATTTTGAAGCTTTATGAGAAAGAATAGCTGTATTAAGTTTTCTATGTTATATGTACATTTATTATGACTATTTCATAGCAAAAGAAATATTAGTACAACTCAGGAAGACTGCTGTGTAGCCAGAACACCAAATAGATAAATATAGTGGCTACTGCAAAGAAGGGGAAAAAAGGGAAAAGGGATAAAAGAACATAATTGATGCAGACACATTAAATACTATCGTACAATACATTTAGCTTGCATTACATTATATTATCGAGTATGCTACATTCTACAATGGTTTTGCACTTATGTAAAGTTTCATAATTTCTCAAGAACTTGAAGGTGGCATGAAATTATCACCAAATTGCTTCATCACAGCTCCATTGTTTGATATATATAAATCTATTAACTCCAACAGTATTCTAGCATAAATGAATTTTCTATTAACATTAATCTAGCATCTTTGGCACAATCTAGGTTCCTATTAAAAAAAACTATCTATAATTTAGAAAACAAAGTTAGGGGAAAGTCATGAGAAAAATACCCATATTAATGAACATATGACATTTAGTAACTATTATGTAGAAAAATTGTTTGTAAACCCTAATTTACTTGTGCTGAATACTTTAGCGCAAATCATTTGTATATGCAGATTTGACAAATGTGTCACAAAAATAAGAAACTCAAACTAGACAGATTTGCATAAGTGGCTGAGAGAATCTCACTCATGTTCCTGATAAGCAATACGTATATGATGTTTTACTGTTTTTCCCCAGACTTGTCACTGCTCTCATTGCAAGTATAATATACATCATTTCCATGCTACTTTTGTTTTCACAAGCAGAAAGCAGAACAATTGTTCCTATATTAACATTTTTCTTTTTGATGCTTCAAATAGGTTTACCTGAATCAAACTTTTCAAGAATAATTATGTGGCACTTGTTGCTTCAAAACATAAAAAATTTCCTGACTGTATGTTATTATCTATTAATAGGTGGAACATCACAACAGTATGCTGGCTTGCAAGTTATTCTGCTAGGTAGCTTGAAAGGATTGGTGAGAACAACATAGAGATATTTCATTAAAAGTGATTGGATAATTGGGAAAATTAAATATGAATAACCAGAGACTATTTGATAAGATTTATTTAAAAAATCTGTTTGGAAACATTGTTTAAGAAAATGTATATGTATGCCTGACAGATGTATGAATAAAAAACTAAAAACACAATTGATTTTATTATTTATGGCAAAATAAGAAATTAATGAAGAGTATGCGGCTAATGAAAAATTCTGAATATGAGAGAAATTGCAATCTGATTAAATCAAAAGAACAGATTCTAGGAAATCCTGGGCACAAAATGAAAGAAATGAAAGGTACAAAAATGAAAGCAGAATGACTTGAGGACCAGAGAGACAAAAAGTAGTGGATCAATTAATTTCCCCAAAGAGCAAATGGAAAGTAGATATAATATGCAAGGATGGTGAAGCTGCCAGGAAAAAAATGAAAATAATTATGTTACAGCGTATTGTGGAATTGTATGGAGTTAATGGGAAGTATACAATTGTATGCTTGCTGGAATGATAAAGCATATGAAAGACATAAATAGAATAGAATAGAATAGAATAGAATAGAATAGAATAGAATAGAA